CTTGGGGCCTAGGGCCAGGCCCAGCGTTTCCGCGGCGGGAAGGGAAAGGGAAAGGGTCGACCCACCAGGCGGCGGGCCGGGGAGCGGCACGCTCGCGCTAGACGGGCTGGGTCAAAGATGGACGGGGCTGGAGTTACCCGGAGGCTGGGGGCTCGGGGAGCCGCTCAGACTTTTCTTACCATCGCGCCAAACTCTTTCGCTGCAGCCGCCGCCGACACACCGCCACACACGAGCTTAACCACGACGCCGCCAACAGCCAACCCCCGCGAGAGGAGCCGCCGGAAGTCGTCAGAGGCGCAGCGCGAAAGAGCCAATGGGACCTTAGAGTCTCACAACTTCCGGAAACTAGAGCGGATTCCGGCCCTGTTTCAGCCATCTTGGATAAGGGCGACGAGCTACACAGGGAATCTTCTGGAACGTGAAAAATAATTTTTTTCCCCTCAAAACGCTTGTTGTCCTTACTCTCGTTGTGAGACATACGGCTAACGTGATCACAGATGTAAATAGTGACACAAGTCACTATTTAAAAGGCAGAGCACAGAATAAAAAAGGGGGGGCGGAAATAGTTGCTCAAAAATGGCGGCAGTGTAAGAATGCCGGGCCATAGGTCAGTTGTTACCCGGAAGAACCCATTTAAAGGCGGGGGCGATGAGGCAATCCGGAAGTGGATATAATGAAGAGGTGCCACTTGGCGGCCATGGCTGCGGTAGTATCTGTGGCTCCGGGTCAAAGCCCAGCGGAGAGGAGTGATACGGGGAGCACCGGCTATAGGGCGGAGGGAGCTTTGTATCGGATTCGCTGCTGAACTCCAGTCTCTTCGTTAGAGACGTACAGGACTCCTTTCCTCATTCGAAACTCGAAGGAGAGTTTGCCGGGACTGGTGGGCTGGTTCCAGCTGGGGGGATCACCGGTTCCAGCAGGGTGTCCCAAAGAGCTAGGGGTGCCGCAGAACCAACAAGTTCGCTTGGGTTTTCCTCCTTTTCCTGCTGCCGCCTGCAACGTTGTCTGTGGAGAGAGTGGGCCCATTGTGCCCTTCTCATTCCGACCATTGAAGGAATCGCTTCTTGGCGTATTTTTTTCCCCATTGACTTTTCCCATCTCTGTTAACGCACCGGAATCCAGGGACTGGAGTCTGAAAACTCAGGGGCTGGGGACCTAAGATTGCTGAAAGTTCTCTCTGATGCTACTATCAGCCCACGGGGGCTGTTTCCAGGTACGCTCACGAGAAAGGCGCTCCGTGAACACCTCCGCCGGCAGGGAGGACAGAAGAACTGGAAAGTCCCTCTCGTTCTCTTGGAATCACGACGCGCGTGTAAGAACCCGTGGAAGCCACTGAAAATCTGTAGTCCGGTGGTGGTGGGCGCGTACAGGAGGGCAGAATGGATGATTTCATCTCCATCAGCCTGCTGTCTCTGGCTATGCTGGCGGGATGTTACGTGGCTGGAATCATTCCCTTGGCTGTTAATTTCTCGGAGGTAAGCAATTCGCAGTTGTTCGTGGGCTGTCCGGCTGGCCGCTGGGAAGTAGTGGGAGTGGTAAAGGAAAGCCGCTTCCTCAGTTAATCCCAGGGCTAAAGGTTTTATTAAGGAAGACCATCTTTTTAAAAGGTGCATAACATTTAACAATGGGAACAAGCCTTATAGTCAGCATCCGAGTTCTGGACCTGGGTGGGTGGATCCACTGCAGATCCTGGAGCACTCCCAGCTCCCTGGAACCGCAGCCAGAAATCTGGAGCTCTGTGCATTTTCCTGGAGAGAGGCACTAACTAACATTCTTTTGGTTTCTCAGAAGTTTCAAGGAATGAAGGTTCCGGATTGCTATGAAGAAATACAAATGGCGAATGTTGTTTGTTCATAGGAATTAATATCAATATAACTTCTTTTTTTGAGAAGATCAAGCATAGTTGTTTTTTTGTTTTTGCTTTTAAGAGAAGTAATGTTTTGGATACCCGTGTTAGAATGGAGAAAGAAAAAATACTTTAAAAAACTTTAATTAGAGCGTCGGCCTGCGGACTGAAAGGTCCCAGGTTCGATTCCCGTCAAGGGCATGTACCTTAGTTGCGGGCCCATCCTCAGTAGGAGATGTGCAGGAGGCAGCTGATCGATGTTTCTCTCTCATTGATGTTTCTAACTCTCTATCTCTCTCCCTTCCTCTCTGTAAAAAAATCAATAAAATATATTTTTTTAAAAACTTTAATTAGGTTGTTCTTAACTCACATTTCCTTTTAAAGAAGAGCATTGGAATGGATATTTGAAGTTGTTTTCAGATCTGTTTACTTAGAAGTGAAATTTTTGTTAATATGTTTTTAAATTTTGGTTAATTGTCATTACCCGAACAAACGTTAACTAACTGGGGAAAGGAAGACTGATGAAAGCGTTGTTCAGTGAAAATGGAGATGGGTTCTTCAGGTTGCCATAAAGAGTGCACAAGGTGCACAGAGCTCAAAGATTTAGGGAGAAAAACAGCTACATTGGGGGCAACAGGATTTCATAAGTATGACCTGGAGTTGAGTAAAAGAGGCCGTTTTACTGCGGGTCCCGGAAGTGCTTTCCCAGGATAGGGAAAAGGAGAAGGGCCTGAAGTAGAAAGGAAAAGTTACAGCTGAGGTGTGAGGTAGGCCCTATGTAGCAGACTGGTAGCCCACATACCAAACTTAGCTGGTAGACTTATTTTGTTAGATTAGCAGTGTTTGATTTTATTATTGTTGTCTTTGTCTATATTCCCTCAAGGCAACAGTTGGTAGAGCTGAGTAGCAGTAGATTGTCGCTGTCCTTCTTGGCTGCAAGGCCTACCGAACTCATTTTGACTACCTGCCTGCCCAGTACTTTGTGAGCCTGCTGTCTTTCCTCTCAAATATAGATATATATTTCAGAGAGGAAGGGAGAGGGAGAGAAAGCTAGAAACATCAATGATGAGAGAGAATCATTGATCAGCTGCCTCCTGCACGCCCCATACAGAGGATGGAGCCCGAAACCCAGACATGTGCCCTGACCAGGAATCCTGGTTCATAGGTCGATGCTCAACCACTGAGCCATGTACCAGCCAGGCTAAACTATATTTTCTTAAAACTACGTTAGAATTGAATTGATATTAATAGGGCTGACATTTGTAAGCTTAAGTTGGTTCATATATATTTAAAGATTTTTTAATTGATTTCAGAGAGGAAGGAGAGGGAGAGATAGAAACATCAGTTACTCCCTGCACACCCCCTACTGGGGATGGAGCCTGAAACCCAGGCATGTGCCCTGACCCTGAAATCTAACTGTGACCTCCTGGTTCATAGGTTGATGCTCAACCACTGAGCTACATGGGTCGGGCAGTGGTTCATATATTTAAAAACAGATTGAGGTGACATTTATCAAGAATTATAATTCACATAAGAGACTGATAAAATTTATTCCTATAAAATGCTTAGGACTTTTCCAATTTCAGTATTTTCTCACACTATTCTTTTTTTTTTTTTTAAAATATATTTTTATTGATTTCAGAGAGGAAGGGAGAGGGAAGGAGAGAGAAACATCAATGATAAGAGAGAATCATTGATCGGCTGCCTCCTGCACACCCCACACTGGGGATCGAGCCCACAACCCAGGCATGTGCCCTTGACCAGAATCGAACCTGTGACCCTTCAGTCCGCAGGCCGATGCTCTATACACTGAGCCAAACTGGCTAGGGCGCTCATACTATTCTTGGATGATTTTTGCAATATGCAGGTATATGCTATTTTGTTTTTCACTGAAAGGAAATGTGTACATGAGTGGTGTAATTAACCAGGCCATTAATAAAGATAATTAGTATGTTATGTCATTCTAAATTGATGGCCTTGTGGTCTTTTCCAACTGTAGGTCTTAAAATGCTATAAATCGGCACTTATAATACCTGTTAATTACATCAAGAACAATGCATTTTGAGCTGTTAGAATAAAATGAAAGTTATATATGTTAGAGACATTTTAGAATTTAACTGGTGTTTTCTATCTCCTAGAAATTAAGCATTTTTTTCTTGGTAAATTATACTATTATTATCGACCAAAGTATTGTGAAATTCGTGAGATGATAAATACTAGTATGTAAAAATAAACTTCATTCATGGGGACTGGGAAGCACAATTTCTACCCTTAGAAAATAGCTCCCTAGATTCCTAGCTTTTCTTTTCTTTATTTTTTGTTAATCCTTACCCAAGGATATTTTTTCCATTGATTTTTAGACAGCGTGGAAGGGAAGGGGAAAGAGAGAGACAGAGAGAGAGAGAATCATTGATGTGAGAGAGACACATTGGTTGCTGGGGATTGAGCCTACAACCAAGGTACGTGCCCTTGACCGAAATCAAACCTGCAGGGCCAGACCAAATGATTTCAAGGGCCGTATACAGCCCTGGAGCCAGATGTTCCCTACCCCTGCTTTACTCCTGTCTGGTAAAGGAGTTGGACACACTAGTTTAGTACTAGCTTATGTTTTTTAGATTCAGTTGTTAATGAGCAGTTTTCTTTGGCTCCAAATGGAAATACTACATGTGTGTGTTGAGAGCCTACAACTTAACATTGCCTAGTATAAACCCAGCTTAGCAGGTGCTCTGATTGATTATGAAGTTCAGATATTAACAATGGCTAAGTGGGATTTTAGATCAGTTATCTGAGGATTGTTATTTACCTGAGCATGTCTTCTTTTTGTCACAGAGCTGGTAAGGGAGAACAAGCTATGTTTGCATCAGACCTCTAGGGCAATATTCCTCAAGCTATCTGGTAAATGACCAGCTTTTATTTTTAATTTCCATTTCATTGAAGACCCAATATATTTGTAAAAATGAAATACTTAGAATATGAAGGGGGGGGGGGAACATGTAAAATACAGGCCCAAATGCAGTGCTATTAAATTGAAGAGACATACAATGACTCCTTTAGTAATTATAATGATCGTATTGCTATAAAATTTTTGGAGGCTTTCTCTCAGTTTCGTACTTTTCTCATTGCAGACTAGTTTGGATTATAATGACACATTTTTTATGTGTTAAAACAGTATAAATCCATAGGTATGCAGATAACTTCAATAAAGAACTGAAGATGATTAATAATGGCCACTAATTTCAAAAGGAACTATCTGAGACAGGTAGTATAGTTCAGAATCAGTGTCACTACTTGAACAAGTTATTTAACATCCAACTCTGCTCTGTTAAATGACCTAGTAGGATTGTTTTGAGAATATAATCCTATCTAATAAAGGGAATATAAAACAAAAAAAAAGAAAAAAATAAATAAAGAGGGAATATGCTAATTGCTGTCCCGCCCTCAAAGATGGCGGCACCCATAGCCAATAAGGAGGGAATATGCTAATTGACTGTCCCACCCTCAAAAATGGCGGCGCCCACAGCCACAAGATGGCTGCGCTCAGCCCCGCCAGCGCGCCTGCCTCCAGAGTCCCCCAGTCCCCTAAGTCCCCCAGCTGCCCAGGGCCGGCCTGAGGCACAGGTAACCAGGGCCGGTCGAGGCTCGCGCTGCCTGCAGTGGCAGCAGCAGAGGTGTGACGAGGCGTCGCCTTCCCCTGATCACTGGGTCACCTCCCACCCCTGAGGGCTCCCGGACTGTGAGGGGGGCAGGCCGGGCTGAGGGACCCCCCCTCCAGTGCATGAATTTTCATCTACCAGGCCTGTAGTGAAATAATATAAGCACAGGCCTTAACACTGTATTTAGAACATAAAGATTTTTTAAATGTTGACATTATTCTCAGTACTGATTTTGAAAACTTTTTAAGTATATTTTTACTAGAGGCCTGGTGCATGACATTCATTCACTGGGGGTAGGAGGGGGAGTTCCTCAGTCCGGCCTGCAAGGGGAGCGGGCCTAAGCTGGCAGTCGGACATCCCCCGCGGGGTCCTTAGCGCTGCCTCAGAGGCGGGAGAGGCTCCTGCCCCTGCCACTGCACTCGCCAGCCCTGAGCCTGGCTTCTGGCTGAGTGGCACTCCCCCTGTGGGAGCGCACTGACCACCAGAGGGCAGCTCCTGCATTGAGCATCTGCCCCGTGGTGGTCAGTGTGTGTCATAGTGACCGGTTCACTATTTGGTCTATTTGCATATTAGGGTTTTATTATATAGGATTGATTTCAGAGAGGAAGGGAGAGGGGGAGAGAGAGAGAAACATCAATGATGAGAATCATTGATCAGCTGCCTCCTGCACACCCCACACCTGGGGCATGCAGGATCCAACCCGCAACCCGGGCATGTGCCCTAACCGGGGATGCCATGACCTCCTGGTTCATAGGTCTCGCTCAACCACTGAGCCATGCTGGCTGGGCAATCAGTTTTTGTTTTTTTTTAATATATATTTTTATTGATTTCAGAGAGGAAGGGAGAGGGAGAGAGAGAAGAACATCAGTGATGGGAGAGAATCATGGATTGGCTGCCTCCTGCACGCCCCTCACTGGGGATCGAGCCCGCAACCCAGGCATGTGCCCTTGACTGGAACTGAACCCGGGACCCTTTAGTCCGCAGGCCGATGCTCTATACACTGAGCCAAACCGGCTAGGGCTGGGCAATCAGTTTTTTAAAAATGCATTCCGCCCTCACCCCCATCCCCAAATGCAAATGACACTGTAGTCTCATAAACTGAGTACTATCGTTAATTTTAAAGCTTTGTTTACTAATTTGATAGATAAAAACACATTTTTGTTATTTTAATTTTCTCAGTTCAGTTGAACATCTTATATAGTAATAACAATATTATTGCCAATGTTTTCCCAGGTTCTTTCCCAATGGGCTTTTGTTTGTTTTTGTTTTTGTAGTCACACTGAACAGTCTTATAGGATTTCCACTTTTGTTTAGTTCTTTTATATTTAGAAAGGACTCTTATACAAAAAGAAAAGGAATTAGTCTTGTTTTTGCAAGATTGGAGGAAGTGGCATTAATAAAGTATTGTTTGTTATTATCTCTGTGTCAAATGCATTAGGACATGGAAAGCCTATATGATGCTGGCAAAATGGCAAATACAGCATTGTGTACTTGAACTTTTAGCCAAGTATCTGGGTTTTACTTTGTTGTTCTTGTGGCTTAGAAGCTTTCTTCTGCATGCTGCTGAGGCTGTTAAAGATAAGCAATAATGGCAGTCACTCTGTGCTGTGTGCTAATATACTATTCCTACATGATAATAATAGTAATAGTAGTCATCATCTCTGCTCTTTTTTTTTTTATTTTTAATCCTCTCCCAAAGATATTTTTTTTCCCATTGATTTTTAGAGAGTGGAAGGGAGGGAAGAGGGAGAGAGAGACATCTAACTGAGAGAGACACATCAATTGGTTGCCTCTCATACATGCCCAACCAGGGCCAGGGATTGAACCTGCAACTGAGGTATGTGCCCTTGCCTCGGAATTGAACGTGAGACCCTTTGGTCATCAAGCCGATGCTCTAACCACTGAGCAATTGGCCAGGGCTCAGCTCCTTCTTACAGAGGACACTGAACTTGCTCAGGGTCACACAGCTACTATTCAGAGGCAGGGAACTTTTTGGCATCTTGTCTCAGATGTAAGGACTTGAAAAACAAAGTTCGTATTTGAGCTTCCTTCATTTCCTTCATTAGCTGATAGTGTAGTAGTTAAGTTGACATTAGGAAGTATCTCCTTAAAGCAGGTTTGTTAGGTTTGTTTGTAAGAATACGGAGAAAGCTTTTTAAAAAATATATATTTATATTTTATTGATTTTTTTACAGAGAGAAAGGGAGAGGGATAGAGAGTTAGAAACATCGATCAGCTGCTTCCTGCACACTCCCTACTGGGGATGTGCCCGCAACCAAGGTACATGCCCTTGACCGGAATCGAACCTGTGACCCTTGAGTCCGCAGGCCGACGCTCTATCCACTGAGCCAAACTGGTTAGGGCTGGAGAAAGCTTTTGTTGCTTGAACAAGAGTTTAGTCTGTACCCTAAATGTTTCATCTCTTCAGTGCATAGAGCTTTGAAGGGATTAGTTTTATAACAAAGGATGCATCTTTAATTTTTTAGGAAACTACAGTTGATGAGTTCAGTACTGAAATGAGCATGGTACAAGGAGGGTTGAAATAAACTATTTTCAATATTAAGAGCTTTAAAAATTATTGACTTATATTTAGTGTGACCAAACAATTTGTTGACTGTTTTGGTGAACAAGGAAAGAAAAACTACTTAACTGTCTTGGTGTCTGCCAAGAAAATTAAACTGACTTCAAAGCTTTGAGCTGATAGTTAATTGCAATGAGTACAAGCTGTTGTTTTAAATAATACGTCTGGTCAGTCCTTTGGCTCAGTCAGGCTACAGCTGTGAAATTGTAAAATAAGATGCATAAAACCAATGTATTGCAGTGTTCATGTCTCTCTTGAGCAAATATTTCATTTCTCTGACAGAAACTATCACTTTGGGAACTCACTTTTCATCTTGAACTGCACTTAGAATATGTAGTTCTTCCTTCAAATACACCTTTTTGGTGATTTACCATAAGCAAAAGAGAGACCCTGTCAGCATTTTAATTCTAACATACAGTTTTGAGATTGAATCCCAAGCTGTGAAATTATGTGAACAAATAATCTATATAAATAACATGGAGCCACATATGTAGTGCTTAAAATAAGTCTGATTGCAACTAAAATGATGTAGGTAGTTAAGAAATTAAGAAAAAATAAAAACTGAAATGACAACCCATGGCAATGATGTTTTTTTAAAAAATATATATTTTTATTTATTTCAAAGAGGAAAGGAGAGGGGGAGAGAGAGAGAGATAAACATCAATGATAAGAGAGAATCACTGATAAGCTGCCTCCTGCACACCCCCCACTGGGGATTGAGCTGGGGGCATGTGCCCTGACCGGAATCAAACTGACCTGGTTCATAAGTCCACACTCAGTCATTGAGCCACATTAGGGTGAATTTCTAGAAGTGAAATTGCTGGATCAAAGAATTCACAGTTTTGAGACTTTAAATCTAAATTGCCAAATTCTGGTTCAGATAGGTTGTGGCAATTCACATTACCACCAGTGTTAGACAAGTATGATCATTTCTCCCTATCATGGATAGTAGAAAAACTTTCCTACATCATTGCAAATCTGGTAAATTTTAAAATGGCATCTCTATGTTTTAACTGGCATTAATTATTCATGAAGCTGACCCTATTTTATTTTCACTAGCCATTATAGATTTTGGTCTCACAAATGAGCAGAGCTCACAATCTTGATTAGATACTTCAGAAATTTTTTTCCATTCATTCATCAATCTTTTCAACAGTTTTCTTTTTTTTTTCTTTCCAGGAGCGACTAAAGCTAGTGACTGTTTTGGGTGCCGGCCTTCTCTGTGGAACTGCACTGGCAGTCATCGTGCCTGAAGGAGTACATGCACTTTATGAAGATATTCTTGAGGGTGAGAGAGAGAAAGGCCTTCTTTGAAATATGTTATTCACATGGAGGGTTGAAAGGAACTTAATGGTATTTCTTCTGAACTCAATTGACATTTGCCATAGAAGTCTACCCTAAAAGGAGTTCTTAAAATATATGTTTTGACATTTTTTACATTGAACACATCCTTAGCAGTATATGATTTGAATGCCCCAATTCATGAGTACCACTTAAGATTTATTTTCAATAATGCATGAATTTCAGTCTTTCAAAGTCTGACTGACCTTTTTTAATGCCCACTTAAAAACTTCCCAAATCCTACATGATGGGTATTTTTAGTATTCTTTAATTGAAAAACTATGTAGATATACTAGTACACATTTGGATTTAAGGACTCTTTATAGTAAACTTTGTAGATCAAGCATGTCAAACTCAAAGGCTAACACGGGCCAGATAAACAAGGTTTAAGTTTCTGTGGGCTGCAAAAAAACAAAAACTTCAATTTTCATAGAAACGTAGGTTTATTTCAATAGAGACATGCTGAACACAAAGGGCTGAAATAAATGAGTAATCGTTAACATAAAATAATAGAACATTTTAATAAAAATTAATATTTTTTCTTGAACATTAACTTACCAGACACTGAATAACTGCACAAATTAATAAGCGTGATGCAAATAAATCAATTTGCATTACGTGGCAATCAGCTGCTAAAATATTCGCTGCTAATATTAGTAGAGAGAAATGGTGCGCCTGTGCGTAAGGCGAGTAAGGGAAATGAATGCAACATGATTATAGTAATCAGTCATTAGTGAACATTGTAGTTCATTATTAATAATTATGTAGAACAGGATATTGTAAAAATTAAGTTATGAAATGTTTATTAAAATGTTTCTTACATACCGTTATATTGGCTAGGCCACAAAAATATTCATTGTGGGCTCCATGTAGCCCGTGGGCTGCGAGTTTGACATGCTTGTTGTAGATAATTGGTGAGGACCCCTGCAGTAAAGAATAAAGAAAAACTAAATATCTAAAGAGGACTCTCCTGACACTAATAACAATCAGAGAACAGTATACCTGTGTGAGAACAAATGCTGGACAGTCCTCTTGGTTCACTCACCTGCTAAATAATTTGGTCCTTCACACCAGTTTGAAAACATAACTTGATTCAAATTTGTGATTCAGCAAAATCAGACTGCTACTTGTCATGAAACATCACAGATACCTGTAAGGATTAGGAACAGGCTGAGGATTTGTCAGCTTTAGGGGGAGAAAAATAATAAGGAACCTTAGAGCAGTGGTCCTACTCTTTTTTGATCACACATCCTATTGGGGAAAAAGATATATATGTATTATTCTATTAATATATTGTGTTCATTATAAAACTCATACCTAAAATTATAGAAAAGTTTAAACTAAGATTAAAGTAAATATGTGTCAGAGTTTTCTTTCATATCCCAGTGGATCAGCTTGAATTTTTCTAAGTATAATTATTCCACTGTAGTGATCAATATCCTAGTATACTAGGAAACATTCAGACCATGACTAAATAGACAATTAAAATTTTTTTCTTGGCTTTGTAGCTAAGAAAGAATTATGGGTTGTTTTCTAAACTTGTCTGATAATAAAATTTCCTTGGGGGTGGTGGTGTGTCTTTTAAAAATATAGTTTCTTGGCCTCCCCAAAGAAAAGGCCTGGGTATATCTATTTTTAACAAATTGCCAAATAATTCTTAATAGACAAGTTTGGGAAACACTGGGGTAAAGGAAAGAAGTGCTTAAGGTATAAGTTGTTGTTTTTTAATAATAGTTTTATTGAGATATAATTCACATACCATATTTCAGATATAGTTTTAATGTTTATTATGTGTTGGGTTATATCCCTTTATTTTCAGTTTTTCTGATTTTGACTCAGAATATTTTTGTGGATTCATCTGAAAATAGATATTTTATAAACCTACTTTTTTAAAAATAAGCGTTCCTGTCTCTTTAACCTTTCATCATGGATTGGTCTCCAGCTCTAAGCCATCATTTAAAATTTATTTTATTATTTTTATTTACATACTAGAGGCCCGGTGCACAAAAATTTGTGCACTGGTTGGGGAGGAGGGGTGGGGGGTGTCCCTCAGCCCCACTTGTGCCCTCTCACAGTCTGGGACCCCTTGGGAGATAACCACCTGCTGGCTTAGGCCC